ACAGCTTGGAAACAACCAAGATGCCCATCACGTGAGGAAGGGTTGAAAAAGATGTGGTATTTCTACACAATGGAGTATTATTCAGCTATGAAGAATGATAAACTCAAAGCCTTTATATTGAAGTGGATGCCACTTGAACATATACTCATAAGTGAAATAAACCAGACACACCTGTGTAAATATCATAGTTTCCCTAGTATAAGAACTCAAAAGAAGAAATACAAATAGAAAGGTATAATACAAGTAAAAGGAATGCAGGATCTTGAGGACTAACTAATCAAGAGAGGGAAAGGAGAAGAGCTAGGAAACATGACAATGTCAAACCATACAGTTATATGTTCAGGATGGGCAAGGCAATGATACTGAGAATCTCCAGAAGATTTTTTAATCTAGCCATTAGTTGGTATCAGTAACTATATATACTGATACCTGTGAAATAAGCAACTGCACTGAAGATGGTAATCTGTAATAGTAGTTTCATGTTTGGAGTGCCTGTCATTCTGGTCTTCTGAATACGGGCTGATTGCCATGACATGCCAGTTGCTGTTATGCTCTCTTTCACGTAGATGGTTGTTCAAAAAGAAGGGGGTGGTGAATGAAAGCAAGGGACAGGAAAAGGAATATTGTGGGACTGTCCTGCTTCAAAGTTGTATATGGTTAGATTTTTGGAGTTATGTGTAAACATAAGAAGTATATAATACTCTATGCCTATTTTGTAAAATGTATTCTAATTTTTATATGTTTTTCATCCTATTCTATAGGGACTTAAAGTTCAACATATCAATACTTGATGAAAAATACTTGTTCCATGTTATGCCTAAGATGTTTGATATTCAAACAGATATTGACGTTAAGCTTAACAGCCTAGGTTACATGGTAATAACAATAAGCTTGTCTTCTGGATAGTTAACAACCTAAGTTTGCAGACCAAAATTAGACAAAAAGGAGGGCCGCAAGGAAAGCCAACATTTTGGACCTAGCCTTCCAAGGTCAATTAAGACTCAGGACATATGAGAACTTGTACTGTAACATCATGTAACTCAGTAGTGTCCCAAATTTTCTTATCAAGGAGATTATGGGGCCAAAGAGGAAAGTGATTGATGATGTAGAGTGTGCCTAAGGAGAGTTACATTGAGAGAAAACATTCTCTCAGGCTTTCACAGAGAGCACATTGGCCACGCAATGGCCGTGACTCATCCACATGCCTGACACTGACAAAGGTTCTACAATCTGAGGTACAGGATCTCAGAATAAAACCTGAGGGAATTTCACTGACTATCAGACCCAAAAGCTACAAGTCTTGTTGCATAATTTCTGCTTTACCTTGGTCTTAACCATTCAGCAGGTAAGTATAAAAATGAAGGATAAGAAGTAAAGCCATGCTGTTATGTTGAGCTGTAGGAGACTCAGGCCAACAATTTCTGTCATTGCCAGTCAAGCAGAAGAACCAATACTATTATGGGCTACTGGACTCTTTTAGAATATTTTGCTGTGTTTATACACCTATAATATTGAAATAACGGAATTTAACAAAAAAGGGGATACAGATGAATGTCCATTTTGTATCTGTGTATTCAAAATGGTTGGGATAGATATATAGTTACATTCTCTTAATGAATAGAGGTATTTGTTCTAATGGTGTTTGTAAATAGGATATCATGTCCGCGTCTTGTACAGCAATTAACCACTAGGAAGAATGTATGCAATGTGTTAATTATTGAAGCTGTCCTAACAATTTGGTTTGAAACTGTCTCATTGCTATTTGTTTGTCAATAAAATTAAGGGAAAAAAAGCCAGTCAATATCGTAAAGGTATAAAAAAAAAACAAGATAAATACTTGTCTGTCAAATAAATGCCTAGTACTTCTAATGGTTTGGGGATAGGATATCGCACAAAGTTTTAGTATGTCGTGGACATGCACAGCATCCATAACCTTTACTGAGGGTCAGGTGTCACTTTTGAGACTGAGCTAGTATTTCCTTGATATCCACCTTGTAGACCCAGGTACAGTTATGACCCATAGGTCCATTTGTTGAGTGCACTTATAGGACTATTTTGCTGCTGTACACAAAAGAATAACTGAAAGACTACTATTGTATACTTCTTATTCTTCTGTGTTTAATTGTTTGTCCTATTTGGTGGGTTCTTTCTACTCGTATTCATGGAGTTGTGGTCATTTTTCTCCCTCTCTAGAACATCTTTTAGTAGTCTGTGTAGGGTTGGTTTTATCATCATGAAATTCTTACGTTGTTCTTTGTCACGAAACTATCTCATTCTCCATTATACTTGAAAGAGTGTTTTGCAGGGTATATCAGTCTGGGTTGGAATTTGTTTTCTTGCAAGACTTGTAGTACTTTGCTCCATGCTGTTCTTGCCTTGATGGTTTGTGAAGAGAAATCTTCCATTATTCTAATGGGTTTTCCTTTAAATGTGGTCTGTTTGTTTTCTGTCTTTAAAAAATTGTTTTTGTTAACTTTATTGAGAATTTGAAACTGTCTCAAATTCAGTCTCAAAACCATTCAATAAGACAGTTTCAATAATGCAGTGCATATTGTTGTCTTCTTAGTGGTTATTCATAGTACAAGATGCAGACATGATATCCTGTCCAAACACTATTAGTACAAATCTTTCTTCTCATTGAATTAAGAGAAAGTAACTGTATGTCTATCCTATCTTGTATATACAGATACAAAATGGCCCTTTCTTTGCATCCCCTTTTTTGTTTAGTTTTATTAGAGATAGGTATTTCATTGCCATTTAAGTATTGTAGGTGCATGAATTCAGTAAAATAATCCAATATAGTCCAGTAGTCCATAATAGTAGTGGTTCATCTGTAGGAATGGAAATGTCAAAAGTTGTTGACTTGAGCCTTTTATAGCTCAGCATATTATATGGCTTTACTTTTCATACCTTGTTTTTATACTTTTCTGCTGGATGCTTAAGACCAAGATAAAGCAAGACCTATATAACAAGAAATGCAACTTTTTTGTATCTGATAAGGTCAGTCAAGTCCCCTCAAGATTTGCCCTGAAACCCTATACCGCAGTTTGCTGATCTTTTGTCAGTGACAGCCATGTGTATGAGTCACGGCCATTGCTTTACCAATTTGTTCTCTGGAAAAGCCTGAGAGAATGTTTTCTCTCCATGTGACTTTCCTTGGGCATACTCTATGTCATGAATCACATTGCTCTGTGACCCCATAATCTCCTTGATCAGAAAATTTGGGACACAACTGAGTTACATGATGTTACAGTACAGGTTCTATGTCCTGAGTCCTCACTAACCTTGAAAGTCTAGTGCCAAAATGTTAGCTGTCCTTACAGCCCTTCTTTTTCTCTAATTTTTGGTCTGCAAACTTAAGTTGTTAACCCTCCAGAAGAGAAACTTATTATTACCTTACAACATATGCCATTGGGTTTAACCTCGCTTATCTGTCTGAATGTCAAACATCTTAGGCATAACATGGAACAGCTATTTTCCCTCTAGCATTGATATGTGAATCTTAAAGTCTCTACAAAATATGGAGAAAAATATTTTTAAAAATATTAAAAACTATGAATAAACAATTACATATTTTTACACAGTAATTTAGAAATCTAGCCATATACAGCATTGTAGCAGGACTGTCCTGTGACATTTTTTTTTCTTGTCTCTTTTTTCCATTCATTACCCTTTTTTTTTTCAATTTTGTAATATTTTATTATCATTGACAAACAGCTGCCGTGTGTGTCTATCCTGCAACTGTTAATGGGTGCATAGGAGGACACCCTTAACCCTAACAAGAAAAACTCAAATTAAGCCTTTATATACAAGCAAATTTAGAGCTCTTTTGGTGTCCAAAGCTATTAATTTGTTTAATTGAAGCATTAAACTAATTCTTAATTAACATATTCGAGTAACCAAGAACTAAAATATTCAAAACTTTTTTCTAGTACAGAAAAATTAAGTTTGCTTTAGTTATAAAAGAGCTCTGTCAATATACACAAACTATATACTTCAGACCTTTACAAAAATGTGAGCAGAAGGCTTATCAAAAGACATTTAATACAATTAGTTTTCAACAACCCCTTAGTGGTCCACATCTACAAAGATATCCAGCCCAACCCACCCCCTCCAAACCCTACCCCCCACAGAAAAGCACATACTTACCAGAATTTTTAGCAAGTATGGTTTGGGAATTTGTTTTTTTAAAAAGGCCCCTAGGGCAAGTTATTTACAGTTTAATTGCTACTGTCAACTGATCTGGATCTGGACCTGGACCTGGACCTGGACCTGGACCTGGACTTTGACCTGGACCTCTGGCGATCTGCAGACGCTGGAGACTTAGATCTACTTGAAGAACCACGTTTCTTGCTCTTCTCGGCCCAGGAGACCTACTAACAGAACGGGACTTGCTCCGGCTCCACCTCCTTGACCGGCTGTAAGACTTCCGACTATGGGAACGAGACCGGCTACGAGACCTAGAGGAACTCCTGGTCCGTGATCGAGACCTGCTTCTTGACCTACTGTGCCTTTTGCTGCCTTCAATTAATTTGATTTTTCTCCCATTTTTTTCCTTTCCAGAAAGTTTTTCAATAGCATTCTTTAAATCACCATAAGAGGCAAACTCAACCACCCCTTCATTTAACTTAGGTCGATGTGCATCCGCAAAGGTTACTTCCCCAGCTTGTCTCATGAAATCTTTGAGATCCTGCCAGCTGACTCTGGAGGATAAATTCTCAACTATAAGTCGATTTTCTGTTCTTACAGGTGGAGCATTTCGTCTATCATTTCGAGGTCTGCGACTACTAAAACGATCAGAGTAGCGTCCTCTACCTCTTCCTCCTCGGGACTGAGCCCTAGCATGTTCAATAGTAACCCTTTCACTACAAAGTTCTTTTCCATCAAGTTCATACACCACATCATCCGCATCCCTGGGATCCTCAAATTCCTAAAACAGAGCTTAAGATGCTTACTGGACTTCAAGCATGCATTTTCACAACACAGTAGGTACACTAAAAACCACAAAACCAAACCCTCTTTTCAGATCAATATCCCTGATCCGCCCATATCCCTTGAAGAATCTTTCGACGTCTTTCTCCCTCACCGCTGGATTTAGTCTCCCGATAAACACTCGACAGCCACTCATGACCTTCTGCTAGTGGGCCCTCGATCAACTGCGTTCATTAGACGCCATCCTCCGCAAAGAGAGCAGCCCCCACCGCTCGCGAACTGAGCGGCCATGAAGAAACCTCGATCCGACGAGCCTTGCCCTCAAAGTGTGCCACTCACCTACTGGACAGGATCTCTGGCGGCTGAGACCCACAGAGGTTTGTAGTCTGCGACAAAGCCGTCTACCTCCCCGCAGACTAGAACACAACTCGTCTACGTCTCTCCAAAACTGACTCATTACCCTTTTTAAAAAAAAACATATTTACTTGAGAGACAGTATGGTAATAATTGGTATGTCATGACAAGCAGTATGTATTCAGAAGGCCAGAATGACAGGCCTTCCAAGCATGACCCTTCTTTTACATATTGCTTTTTTTTTTTTCTGACCATTGTTTTTAATTCAAGAGAACAAACTGAACACACAAGAAGCCTGTAAACTCAGGAATACTGAAAGAGGAAGGTACTGCATAGAATTCTTAGTGCACAGTCCAAATCTGCTTGGGGTCTCTCCTGTTACAGGGTGGAAGAGCAGATTTTCTTAATGATGGTGGTGGAGTGAGACATTTCACAGATCAACAGAGAACTGACAGCACCATGCAGGTACCACTGCAGTCTGACTGAGGTCGTCACAGTGCACTTGTACTTGGCTGTGGTGGTCCCTGCTGCTGCTGTCATCTGGGCTTCTTCTTCTGTCTGGATAGACAGCTCAATGAAGACTTGCTATTCTTGGGGCAGCCATGGGCAGAGGAGGCCTGCTGAATTGAGTAGGGTACCTGGTTTTGAGTCCCTTCTTGAAGAATGGCTGGGAAAGCAGATGGTGCAGCTCTCTCTTTAGGACCTTCATCTGCTTCTGTCACCAACGCTCTTCTTCCTTGTCTACTTTTCCTCCTTTATACATATCTTCTTCCAGTTCAATCTTGAGGGCAGCTGCTGCCTGCTCAATCCAAGAGTTATGCAGACAAGCCTGGAAGTACTGGTACTCAGCTTTCTCAATCTGTTGAGCTAGGCAGATTCACTCCTTGACTACATCCATGTACTTTGTATGCACAGGGAAGAGTGGGATTTCCTCATCTTTCTTCAGAGTCTTGTACAGCTTTTTAAATTTGACTACATCCTCAGGCCCAATGAGCATCATGCTGAGGCCTTCACTGGTGGCACGAGCAGTCCTACCACTTTGGTGGATGTAAATCTCCGAGGTTCAAGGGACCTGGTAATGGATGACCTGCTGCACTTTAGAATATCCAGACCTTGGGCTGCCACATCTGTGGCCAAGAGAACACAATCTTCCAGCCAGGTAAACTTCTCCAGGTTCCTGAGCCTCTGCTTCTGGTGCATGCAGGCCTGGAGCATCAATGGCATGATATCCAGGACTTTGAGGAGTCCAGAGAGGTGTTTGGTGCAGGAGATGCTGTTGACAAACACTGAACTGCAGCCTAGGTACTGGATCAGGAAGTAAGTAGTACAGGTAGAAATCTTTTCATCTGTCTCACAATGGATCTTGATTTCTGTCAGTGTCTCTACTTGTGCCCTCATTCCTTGTGAGATCAATGACTAGGCTTGCCCCTCATGCCAATCTTCTGCATGAGGAGGTCAAGTTTGGCAGTTTTGTCCATTTTTAAACATGCTTCTTATGAAGAAGTCGAGCAGGAACTTGATGTACCAGGGTCAGTGTAGCAGAAAAAAAGTGTCTGTCTCTTTGCATTGAACTGGAGACATTGAGCATCTCCAGCAGCTGTGACAGCTCAGCAAAATGGCCTTTCTCAACCATCTGGTCTACCTCATTCACTACCAGGCACCTGAGTTGCCGAAGATTGCTCAAATGAGCGTGATTTTCTTTAACTAGCTCCCATAGCCATCCCATCCTGGCATGGCAATCATGATCTCAGGATGATGGTTTAACATCCTCTGCTGTTTCTGTGTAGGCATCCCACCAACAAAAATAGCAGTTTTAATTCCTGTAAACTTGGCCAGAGCATTGATATGCTGTTTGACCTGGATGTCCAGCTCTCATGTAGGAGTCAGCACCAGTCCAAGCAGAGGATGCCCTGGATGTGCTTTATAAGTAGTAGTTATCCAAATCTTGTTTGAACTCACCCAAATGTTCTCCATCAAGCATTACTTCTCCATCCTCCATTGGTTTGGGGACAGGCTTCTCTTCCATCAGAGAGGGCCCTTCACCAGCATCATTGTCACAGGGCAGGGGCTGGTCTGAGATGGGGGTACTGATTTTGGCTCTGGCCTTAGACCCAGCATCATTGGTGAGTGCTACAGTTTCAACTGCAGCTTTATCATCAGGCAACACTCCAGAATCAGTTCCAGCCTTACTTGGTGATCAAGTTTCTCCAAGTGGCAGTCCAGTGTTACTCAGGGTAGGCAAGGTCTTCTTCTACCACTGCAATACTGCATGAATCATTGGGATGGCAAAGGCAAGGGTCTTCCCACTTCCTGTCTTAGCAGCCCCAAGGATGTACAACATGTCACGAATGGTGGCACCAAGGTCAGGGCTTGGATTGGTGTAGGTGCAGAGAAACCAAGAAAGCTGAGTGCTTGGAAAATTGGATTGGGCACAAACAAGTCCTTCCAGGCTGATACATCTACTTTCTGGTTATGCATTTCAGGCATCCATGTCTTAGCTTTTTTTGGGCACATGATGGGCAGTGTTTTGAGAAGGCTCTGATTTTTCCCCCTTGCTTTTCTTCTTTTTTGGAACAGGTTGTACCAGAATTTCTGATGCTATCTTCCTTTCCTCTGGACCAGGACAAACAGTGACATCACCTCCCTGGGGCTCTGGTTCACCGTCTTCAACCTCAAGCTCTTTCTGAGTGGAGGTTTTTCACTAATCAGTACCATATCTTTATTCTTCTTCAATCTGATCCTTTTCTTTGGAGAGCTAGACTCTCCTTCCTCCTCTTCTGAAACTATTTGTGCCTTTAACTTCTTGGGGTCTTCTGAAAAGAGATTGGAGGGATTTTTGGTAGCAGAGACCAACTGGAAATCTGTCAGTTCCTCAAAGAACACCAAGTCATCCATTTGTCCATCTGCAAACATTTGCATCAATCTGCACCTGATTCCATTTTCCCACAAATTTAATGCCATTTTTTTGAAATTTTCTATGACATGGTAGCTTTTGCCTTGATATTGTGTCCTTCAACTTCATGGTTGCGCTTGGAGATGCTGCTCTGGATGACTCTGTCATCGATCAACCACCTCAGATACACCCATCAAGGTCACATATTGCTTTCTTCAGTGCAGTTGCTTACTTCACAGTTATCAGCATATATAGTTAGTCAGGGTGAGAATCCTTCCAATTAACTGCTAGTTATGAAAACTTGTGGGTTTCTCAGGATCATTGCCTTACCCATCCTGTGTGTATAAATGTATGGTTTTGCCTCTATCGTTTTCCCCAGCCTTTGTCTTGGCCCTCTCCTTGTTGTGAAATCCTTGAGTTCTCACTTTCCTTTAATTGTGTTATACCTTTCTATTTGTATTTCTTCTTTCGAGTTTTATGCGAGGGAGACTATATGATATTTACACATGTAGGTCTGGTTTATTTCACTTATGAGTATATCTTCAAGTGTCAACCACTGAAATATAAAGGCTTTGAGTTTATCATTCTACATAGCTGGGCAATACTCCATTGTATAGAAATGCCACATCTTTTTCATCCATTTTTCAGGTGATGGACATCTTTGTTGTTTCCAAGATTTGGCTATCACAAATTGTGCTGATGTAAACATAGGCACACATATATCATTATGATATGATGTTTTCAGTTACTCTGGGAAAATTCCCAATAGGGGGATAGCTAGTTTAAATGAGATTTCCAGTACTAGGTTTTTAAGGAGTCTCCACATTGATTTCCATAATGGTTGCACAAGTCTACATTCCCACCAGCAGTGGAGAAGAGTTCCTTTTCCCTGACAGCCTCTCTAACATTTGCTGTTGGTTGATTTCTTTATGATAGCCATTCTTTCTGGGATGAGATGCTATCTCAGTGTTTTAATTTGCACTTAAAGGATGGCTAGTGATGTGGAGCATTTTTTCATATATTCATTTGCTTCTTTAATTTCATCCTCTGAGAAGTGTGTATTCTGCTCAGATGCCCATTTCTGGACTAGGTCATTAAATTTAAGACCCTAATGTTTTTTAGTTCTTTATAAATTCTAGAGAGCAGACCATTGTCTTAGTGTTTATTAATCAAGATATTTTCAAAATTTGTGGGTTGTCTTTTCACTTTGTTGGTAATTTCTTTTTTTACCCATAATTTTATTGAGAAACAAATAGCAATGAGACAGTTTCAAACTAAATTAGTAGGACAGTTTCAATAATTAACACGTTGCATACATTCTTCCTAGTGGTTAATTGTAGTACAAGATGCGGACATGATATCCTATTTACACACACCATTAGAACAAATCCCTCTATTCATTAAGAGAATGTAACTATATATCTATCCTAACCACTTTGAATACACAGATACAGAATGGACATTCATCTGCATCCTGTTTTTTTTTTAAGTTCCATCATTTAAATATTATAGGTGTGTAAACTCAGCAAAATATTCTAAAAGAGTTTAGTAGTCCATAATAGTATTGGGTCTTCTGCTTCACTGACAATGTTAGAAATTGTTGACCTGAGTCTCCTACAGCTCAACATAACAGCATGGCTTTACTTCTTATCCTTCGTTTTTATACTTTTCTGCCAGATGGTTAAGAGCAAGGTAAAGCAGGACCTATGCAACAAGAGTTGGAGCTTTTGGGTCTGATAAGGTCAGTGAAATACCCTCAGGATTTATCCTGAGATCCTGCACCTCAGATTGTAGAACCTTTGTCAGTGTCAGCCATGTGGATGAGTCACAGCCATTGCGTGGCCAATGCGCTCTCTGTGAAAGCCTGAGAGAATGTTTTCTCTCCATGTGACTCTCCTTAGGCACACTCTACATCATCGATCACTTTCCTCTTTGGCCCCATAATCTCCTTGATAAGAAAATTTGGGACACTACTGAGTTACATGACGTTACAGTACAGATTCTCACATGTCCTGAGTCTTAATTGATCTTAGAAGACTAGGGTCAAAATGTTGGCTTTCCTTGCGGCCCTCCTTTTTGTCTAATTTTGGTCTGCAAACTTAGGTTGTTAACTATCCAGAAGAAAAGCTTATTGTTGTCACCATGTAACCTAGGCTGTAAAGCTTAACCTCAATATCTGTCTGAATATCA